AAAAGAAAATTCTTTCTAATGTTGACGTTTTTTTTTTAATGAATGCGAACAAGTTTTATTTGAACTATCTCATTATTCAATAATACTGCAAGCAAGAACAATCATAGGCAATAAAGCAACACGGTCTGGAAAGGCTCGAGTCTACTATCGACTGGACAGATACAGATTTATAAGGGAACCGTTCAAAGTGATTCATCGCTTTTGACTTATATTTTATTCATCAATAGCAGACATGTAGACTAAGAAAAATTCAAAATGAAAGAGACTCATGTTGTGAATAGACTGAGATAGAGAAGTTTCATTGAAATATTCCTGTAGGATCCTGATTTTTCAACAAAATCATATTTTTGAACTTCAACATAAAACTTTGCTTATATCGAGACTGAACATAGGCTAACTTGTACACAAAATTTCAGAACTGTTCTACATAGCACATAATTGAGATATGAAGTTGTCAAGATATATATAGTTCTGAAATTTTTTGTACAAACTAACCTAGTTGCAGTCTCAATATGCTCTTAGTTTCATATAAAATTTCGAACATATGATTTTGTTTGAAAGTCAGGACTCGGCAAGAATATTTCAGTAAAATTTCTTTATTCGAGTCAAATCACAATATGAACCTGTATCATATTGAACTTTTCCTCTTCTACGAGTCTGCTACTTATGGGCAAAATATGAAATCAAAAGCGATGAATCACTTTCAATGGTTCTATTGTCTGATAAGTTCTATCTTAAGTAAAAAATTTTCTGTTACTGTTAAATCTTTATTTTCTCGTAACAAATGACGCGTTGTTATAAGATCAGTGCACATCTGATTAACTCACAACTCGTTTGAAATATGCATAGACGACGGAGCCACAAGATTTGTAGTAAGCCTAAAGCCTATTCCTAGATTCATGCTTTGTAGGCTCAAACATTTTTCTTCTTCAATCAGATTGATAGATGTGGGTATGGGATGTTAGAGTCTTCTCTTTATAGAAACTCATACTCGACAATGAGTTACAATGTAGAACTGGTCGCATTATTGGCAGAAGCGTGTTTTCTATTACACTTCCTACAAACTTCAATTTGCAGATATGTAATTCAATCACATTCAGCGCCATGCAACGATGACATCGGCATATGAAAAGTGAAGATTTACTCCATGGAATAGACTCCTAGATGATTTCGCTGGTAAACGGTAATTAAATGTTGATACTCACATTTTGGGTTTAACGAAATATTACCAAAAGACGACGATCACATTCATTACTATATAGCAAAAGCTGCAACAGACAGAAAGTCCAAAAGAGTGAAAAATTACGGAAGATTATGGGGAAACTTTAAAGTAATTATTACTTACTATCCTGTAGAGTTTCACACTCAATCAGAAGAGTTTACTATACATTCATATTTATACCCCTAACTAATGCTCCTTGTCCTTAAATAGATTGTTTGTTATTTTCTTACTTTCTCTGAGCTGTTTTTCGATAGTGTTAAGAAAAGTTTTTTGCAGTCTTTATTTTTCGTTATTATCACCGATTCTGTACTGTAATTAATTGTCAGAGTGCCCATTGACGTCACCTAATTGTCGTAGAACCAATTCAATTTTGAAGTCTTAACATACTATCATTCTAAAGGTGTCTATGTTCGATTGATACTGTTATAATATCATTTACAACTACATGTACACTACTACTGCTGTATGAGCGTGATTTTTTCCTTTTTTTTTTCTAAGATATTATTAGAGTTAGGTGAATGTTTATGTATTAACATTGTAAGGTGCTAAAATATTTTGTTTTTATGCTAAATGCAAATTGCCAAAGAATATATTTAAAAAACTTCAAAAGCTTTTAATGATTTCCCATCGTTTCATATAAACAAAAATACAATTTTTCGAACGCACAATAGAAACTGTATCTTCTTTATTTCATATTTAGTTTTTAAAATAAATATGTGATAAAACTTGTTGAACGAGAATAAAACTATTTCCTAAGGTCTCTCTTGAAGCAAAGGTCGATATCCATTACAAAAATTAAAATTAAGATAACTACATGCGAAGACAGCCCGAGATTTGATTTTTCATCAACGGTACGGTTTTTATATTTGTAACCTTGTTTTATTTTATGATTTACATCACCTTCTGCTTGAAACGTATGTTTTTTTAGAAAAAGCGAGAAATATTTTTTCCTGTTTATTCTTTTCTGATCGCGCATCGCAGAATCGTCGAATTAGCTTTATTATAGCCATTTACATTTTTTTGTTGTGAAAGAGCATGTGAAGTTCTACTACCTATTTTTTTTTGAATTAAGCATTATTATTATTATTATATAAAAAGCATTTCTCTAAATGGACGATCAATTTTTGGAAATTTTCGAGGTATTGAACTTGCCATTCTCTTTCTCGGCATAAAAAGTAAGAATTTAAACCATACAACACTGCAGTTTGATATATGTTCTTTAAAATAAAATAGAAAAATCTACATAATGAGAACTCACAAAGAATTTGGAATTGCCAACTGAACTATTTGTGATTTCTTTTTGTTGGATATCTCTCTCAAACGTCATAATATAGAGATGAAAATTTTAGTATAGTCTATAATGGAAATTTCATGCGATATCAATGCGTCTGACTCAGGATCGGTTGTTTCAGCGGGAGAGGAAGCTTAATATTTTCTAATTCGATTGAAAATTAATGACAGATATATATTTGAAAGGATTAATGAAAAAGAATATTTATTTACATGTTAAATTCTTTAGTAAAAAAAAAAGAACTAAATATGAGCGTCTTTTTTTTCTTGATTGTATCTTCTAATAATTGAAATAAGTCAATGGTTCATCTAAAACAAAAATATATTTTATTTGTGGATCGTAAAGAAATATATTCTTTTTGCACCTTCTGTAAAAATACAAGTCGCATGATCATGTTTGAATATTTCACGTAAGGCATAAAAATCATATTTATTTTGATTTTTATGTCGATGAATTCGAATATGAATAAATAAATTATTATCGATAGATATTTTCAAAAAATAATTAGTACCATAAGCAACTTCTTCTTCAGCATATTTTGTTACTCTAAATAATATCCAACATATTTTAATCATTATTTAGTAGTCTTAAAAATTGAAACTAACTTCCAATTAACTATATGTTTTTCTCGACGTTCTTCCGTTAAACGATGAACTTTATGTTCGTAATGTTTTCTATATAAAGTATCAATAGCTGCATATTTTATTTCCGGATATTCACTATAAAGAAAAACAAAGCGAAGATCATAATGAAGTTTCATGAGAAAATGACTTACCTTATTTCTTGAATTTCAGGTGTAGCATCCTGAAGAAAATAAAAACAAAAGATTTTTTTCAAAAAATAAAACACTAATCTCATTTTATTTAAACATACCATGATAGGACTCATATTATTTCGAAGTTCATCCGACATAATTATATATGCTAATGTAAGATATATAATAATAAGTAAAATGTTTGCTTCTTTTTTTCTGATAGGCCGATCTACTGATGTGAAAGCACAACTTTGAATATGAAAGATAGAAAAAAGAAAGAGAAAGTCGTCTGAATTCGACCAAAGATAATGTGTTTACTTAGAACGTAGCTTTTTTTCTTCTACTTTTATTTTTTGCTTAAGTAATTCAATTCTTCATCTCATTATAGGATTTCAGTTGAGTTTATATAGAAACTATAATATTATAGAGTCACATAGGCATTACAAATAACATAATAAAATAGAAAAACAGTAATTAATTGATCAATAGATTCGTGTACATATTTTCTGAAGTTTTGAATGTCTTGACAAGCTTGATAAAAACATTCTGCTTAAGATATCCGTTTAAGAACTAATAAAGCGAGAGAATAACTAACGTTTCTCAGTTTTTTTTTGTCTTTATAAGAGGAATGTTTCTATTTCATAGACAGGTGCAGAGTGTGTAAAAATTTGTTTTCCAGTGAGATAACGCTGTGATTTCAAATAACATCAACAGCAACAAATTTTATACCATATTGACCCACGTCAAAAATGGAATTCACTAATACTAAATAGTAAATATTATATGCAATTTTTCATTGTCGAATGTATGAAACTCCTAATATTTTACAGCGTATGAACAGAGAAAAATTCCTTTCGAATAATAATCGAAAATGAAGCGGAAGACAAGGCCTATTGAAGATACAGCACAACCATTATGATAAAGAAACTCAAAAAAAAACCATATATAAAAAATATTAATTTATTTGAAAGTTTTTCATGTTCATATCCATCTCATCGTCGTGCTGTAAAAACGCTAATGGTATTCATACTAATTATTAATTGTATTCATCAAATCCTAAAAAAAGTAAATATTACTTATTGATATTCATAATTTTTAAATGAGGTTTAGGTTGAAACGTCTCATGAAAGGAATTTTTCTCTGCTGATATGGCATAAAATTTTAGAAATTTTCTGAATTCGACACTGACAAGTTGCATATGATCCTTACTATTTAGTATTGGTAAACTTCATTTTCGACGCACTTTAATTTATTATAAAATTTGTCGTTGATTTTGTTTGAAATTGCAGTGTTACATTCCTAGAAAAATATTTTGACGTACTTGGAATAACAGAACTATGAATACAATACATTTAACGCCAGTTATAACCTTAATAAATATTTATAATGTGCTTTTCACTTACATAAATGTGTAGAAAAAATAGGGAAAATGCTATTTTGACGTAAAACAACGACGTCATTAGTTACTCAGTTGAAAAGCATTTGCCTTCATGTACATTGGAAGAGAAACTGTTCTCGAAGTTTCAAAATAAATGCCTCGTATTTTTAACGACTTCAAGAATATCTAAATATTTTTAATTACATTTAAATGTTCAAAAATTTTCACAAAAAAGTGTAACTAATGAAACTACGGAGTGGTTTTCAATTAAAGATACAAGTAGCAAATGAAAGAATCAATAATCAAAATTAAAACTAATAAGAAATTCGAATTACAGAAGTTCATCAGTTACAAGTCAACGATAAGTTGGAATTGAGTCACATGCATGAGGATCATCCGAACGGCCTGTCATAAAATTGCATAATAAACCTCGTCGACAATCATGATTACAACTGGTTCCAGTAGCATACGATTTTGTATAATATGTGTATGCTAAACCCATTAATGGACCATCAATATCATTTTTCATTCTTTGAATAAGATTGTCCCAATCAGCAGGAAATAAATTTTCCATTTCATAAGCATCTCGAGCTTCATATTCATTGATTAGAATGCTTCTATTATACATATTTGATGCCGTTAGGTTCATAATAACTGTACGATGATCAAGTACCCAATAGGAACTATTTGGATAGACACCATCCATTGTATAAACACGATAACCTGGATTTAAAAATGATTGTGTAGTCATTGAAGGTGTTACATAAGCCTAGAACAGGACAGAATGAAAAAATGAGTAACAAGATCTGAAAGAAACACCAGACCATTGATACAGGTCGTTGTTTTTCAATTTCGTCATAGAATACAATAAATTCATCATTATGTGTGTGACCATAAAATTGACCAGCAATGGTATTTCATATCTAAAAAATATAAACTAAAGAATATTGAACCAAATGTTTAGTTTTCTAACCGATTGATAATTTTATGAAAATTCCAGCTAAAAGCTGCCAAACAAGAACGTGGTGGATGATGTCCAAGAATGTGGACCTTCTCGTCATGATCTTCAGCATATTGTAACCATTGTATGAACTAAAAATATTCAAATATATTAGAATTCTTTTTTTTTATTATTTTAACACTTACCCATTGAAGTTGATCAAGTGGATCAGTTGCATTGACAAATAACCAATAATTTTCGGGTGCACAATAATTCATATTGAGCGATATTAATCGTAAACCAGGACGTACAATTGTTGTATAGAAAGCTCCACGTGTTATAGTATCACGTGTATCAGATGGTAAACCAAGTGTAAGCCAGCTATCGGCTAATGCTTCGTACAACCATGAAATATTGTCTGATCGAATAATAGGTGTTGGAAACAGATTACAAGGTGCTATAGAACAAAGGAAAAAAAAATCAAATAGATAAATTGAAGAAAAAAGATAGATTAATACAACACCTGCTTCATGATTTCCAACTGCTGGATAGAAAGTTTTATTAGGAAAAGTCTTAGCTAATAATTGATTAATAGTTTGAATGGTATAGAGTTGATCAGCACGGGATTGATTCCATACGTTGTGAGGTGGCAAATCACCAGTATAATAGATGAAGTCAAACTATCAAAACAAGATTAAATATCATTTTTCAATGATGATGAAATGTATTTCATTTATGACTGACATCTTCTAGTTCAGAAGCATATTGTAGAATAGTTTGAACTGTCCAGAGAGGTATATCACAATTACGATAATCACCCCTAAACAAGAAATATATTGTGTGGGAAACTTTTAAATAAAATTAAGTATACATACCAGAAACCAGCACCAGCATGCCTAGGTTCTGTATGAAATTTTTCAATTTTTATCATGAAGTATTTACAATGAATAGCAAAATTATTTAACAAGGTTTAGTTTCAATATTTTTTTCATTGCCGAAAGGGGCAGTGAGAGTCAAAATAGTAATATCAGTAGAAAAATTGTTTCCAACAGAAATATAAAGAAATAAAAATTAATATTGGATTCACAAAGAAAGGGATTGAAGCATTTAGAATACATAAAAATAGTTTTGCTTAGCCTATATAGAATGTCAGACTATATAATTATCTACGAAATGTAATGAATTCCAGTTCTTTGCAAAGTGTTTGAGCTGATATATAGGAATTTTATTGTAAATTAACAAATGGCTTTTCAATAGGAAATAGTAACAAAAACTACTTTAGGAATTTCCGTAAGATTGCTGTAGTACAGCTAGAAAATGGTACAAAGAACTCTGAGACGTCTCATTTTTTAGAGCATTTTTTTCTTTATTGTACTATTTAGTCTATGCAAAATTATATTTATCTGTTTTAGAAGCTGAAAAACTAGCCTTTTGATTTAACAATTCTTTCTATTTTAATCATTATTTTGATTCTTTCTGGCGCTTACGGTAGTAGAAAAAAATTGAAAATAAATCTTGCTGATTAACTTTGGATCCCACTATATATACATATAATACTCACGAGGTTGACCATCTCGACAGCATAATGGTTTAGTACAATCTGCTTGTGAACCAGGTTTATAGTCAAAATCCACATGAATATCAGATAAGTGGAGAACTTTCAGTTTGGGTGATCCAGACTATGTTACAAAAAATGCACATTAGTTACATTTCTTTATAGACAATGCTTCATTTCAATAAATATTGTTTTAAAAGAATTCATTCCTCGAAATTTGTTGATGCAACAAAAAGGGTAGCAATAAAAGAGAGCATAAATGTAAAATCTTAAAAATTGAAATTCTCAAGTATTCAATTACTTTACAAAAGTATACACATAGGTCATCCTTTGCTGAGTATGTTGCGAACTCCTACACTACTGAAACGGCAAAAACGGTAACATGTTGATTTTGCTTGAAAGTAATTAAAGTACCACTAAAATCATAGGCAACGCACCCCATGTAAAAATTTTTTGCAATTTAACGAAGTTTTGTGACGTGAAAATTCGTTAAAAATTTAACGATTTAACAAAATTTAATGTTACCTTTCTGACCCTAAAAACGCGTTAAATGCGCGAAAATTTAACTCGTTTTCTTTCGTTAAAGAAAGGATCGTTTAACGCGTCTTTCTGCGTTAAAAATAAGACCGTTTAACACGTCTTTCTGCGTTAAAAATAGATCGTTTAACGCGTTTTTCCTCGATAAATACTCAAGCTGATGCATACGTTACTGTTCAGAATTTTTTATACATTGTTATTGATCGCAAGTGTGATGAATTTTCCTCAACGATTAATATCTTGCTAAATTTTATTTCTGGACGAATAAAACTTTGGAAGATATCGACCATTGGAGAAAGCTCATCACATTTGCGATCAATAGCAATGTATAAAAAATTCTGAGCAGTAATGTATACATCAGCTTAAGCATTTATTGAAGATGAACAAGTAACGTTTCTCATATTAGATGTGAATTCTATGAGCAAAATAGGCAACTTAGTTTAACTCGATAATAAAGAACCATGAAAAGTTTCAAGTCCAGCTACATAAAAAATTTTTTGAGCTTTTAGAAAAATTTGTACGTTCACTCAACTGTACAGCTATGCTTATGCTGTTACTAAATGTTTGTCATCCTATTTTCTGTACTTTTATAGTTAATTCTTTCTTACCTAAAAGCTATCACACAAAACAATTAACTATTTTTACTTTTATATGGATCTATTCTGTCATACGAACCAAATCGGAATAAATTTAAAGTGAACAGCACAGGAATATGTATAAGTTCTAAGCGCTTGTAAATCATTTTATAATTCAAGTAGGAAAATTAAAAAACTCTACGTGCGAAAACGAATGCAATGTTTAACGATAGTTATCACGATGAAGCTCGTTAAAAATAAAAGCACGCAAGAAACATCGTTAAATATCTTCACGCGTGTAAACGAACCTAGCTTTCCATGATAGTTAACACGATATAGCTCGTTAAAAACGAAAAAACGCAAGAAGCATCGTTAAAAACTTCACGCATGAAAACGAATGCAATATTAAACGCCATGCAACGAGTTGGTGACCGTTAAGAATACAACCACGCGTGAAAAAGCGTGAAAAATCTAACGCGTTTTCAC